GCTTCTCTAATACGTAATTTCTCATATTTGTAGTTCAATTTCTAAAGTTAATATCTGTTTACAGAACTCATCATTCTGGTGCAAGATTTCCTTCCTCTGATAGCAGAGGACGGTGCCCGCGCAGTCTAAGATGTGAGCTGTCTTCGCTTGCTCGAACACTGTGAATGTGGGTTCAACTCCCATTCGAGACATGGATGCCTGTGTGTGCGTTTATTCTGTGTTTATGTTGTCTGTGTGTAGGTAGCGGCCTTACGACGCGCTGATCCCCCGTCCAAGGAGTCCTACCGACTGTGTATAGGATTACGAAATTGGAAATGTGGCGGGGACCCAACAAAAGGCTGTAGAGCCACTGATGATGATGAGTAACCTGTATCATTAACACATGCACATAGTCAAGTTATATACAGGACTATTTTCTTTTATTGCTAGTGGGGTGGGACTAAGTCCCTTGTACTGCGGCCACTTCTGGCCTACTGTACCAACCCCAGATGATAGGTGAAGGTGATTGTGGAGCAATTGGTGGAATGAAGAGTGGCAGGGGAAACCGAAGTACTCGGAGAAAACCTGCCCCAGAGCCACTTTGTCCACTACAAATTCCACTTGACCGGACCCAGTCGCCGCGGTGGGAAGCCAGCGACTAACCGCTTGAGCTATGGCACGGTACAGGACTATATATGATGAAATCACTTTCCTTCTCCATTATCTTATCATCATTAAAATTTTTGAAGACGAGAATATGAATCTACTGCGAAACAGAACATTCACATCTCATGTATATAGCGGGGAAGATGTTATATATGTGCGTGTTCTTACATGGAGACCCAGAAGCACGTACATACAGCACAGATACAAGTGGTTTCTCTTTAACTTCCACACATTACGAATATGTTATGCCAAACTAACCTCTTCTTTTCGCTGTATACTAACACAATGACCATGCAGGGCGGTGAAAATGGCGGATCGGACATAGGAGCTCTTCTGGGAAACCTGGCACCCCTCATTAGCAGCCTCAGTGGGGTAAGTTTAAGAAAAATGTCGTAAAATTAACAACGCTTCTGTATCTACAGAACTTTCTCACAGTTATAATTACTGAACACTCCTCTTCAAGTCAAAGTACTCCATAACAATTTGCTAAATGTACTAGTACAGACTGCAAATAAAATTGGACTATAAAAAAATAGTTATCATGTGCTCGGTGGGTTTGCTTTACAGACAACTCTCTGAAGGTACTTACTCATGGAGCTGAGCCCTTCTTGAGAAGAAGCCAAATCTGCAGCTACTCAAGAATTTCCCAGCATTTTATGTAACCCGAATATTCATTACCGTGGTCACAAGAGCCCTCCACTGGTCCCTATCCTGAACCACATCAATCCAATATATACCCTCCCATCCTATCTCTCTATGATCCATTTTAATATTCTCCACCCACTTACGCCTTGGTCTTCCTAGTGATCTTTGAAGGTACATCATCATAAAATATGATGTACATTATTACGTAATTATCAGAAAGTAACTAGATTCTATTGTCAGCATAGGGCAGGAACCAAAACACAGAGAAGTTTTCTTCCGTATGGTTGCCTACTCAGCAATGACGTAACTTCAGAGATGCTTCATACGGATTGTAACTTGCTATACAACCAATTTTTTTATCGTGAAAAAAAACTGTAATTACGAAACGGGTCTAGGAAATGCCCATCCGGCCCTCTGTAGCACAGTCTTATAAATACCTTATTTTATTACAGCGGCTACCCCACGATTCTTAATATATTCGTACAACTTAACTTAAATTTGACAGCACAGTTATTATTTTTAAATTTACTTTTTTTCTATTTTTACATATATATTTTAAATAAATATAGGAATGTTATTCATGAAGTAACAGACGCCTTGCACAAATCTTTCCTCTTCTAGCCTTAAGAACTCTGTAACTGGGTATTCTTTTTTGCTGTTCTGATACAGAAAGTCCATCACTGTTATTCGTCATTCTCGTACCTGTATTATGGAGCCATCTACCGAGAATTATTAAAATTAAATGTGAACGCACAATAAGTTTCTTGGCGAATTTATTCTCGTACCAGGAAATGAACTAATTTATGAAAAAGATATCGTGGGAACATAATATGATATTGTACTGTGTTTATGACTCGTGACTATTAATAACGGTTTTTGGATTGGATGATTATATTTATTAACACCTTTTATAATCTCTCTTGAACACAAACCGTTACAACAGTTCTCAGTCAATGACACCTACGACTCGCTCCATTCTGACTGGACTGCAACTGTCTTGTCGTAGTCTTTCTTCTGCTGTGACTGACTTAGGCCGAGCCATATATGAGGCTTCCTACCGCGGCGGCTCGGGTTCGAGCCCAGATCAGGTCATGTGGGATTTGTGATGGATAAAGTGGCACTGGGGTAGGTTTTCTCCGAGTACTTCGGTTTCCCCTACCAATTCTCATTTCATCAACTGCTCCACACTCATCATTTGTAACCAGGGGCTGGTACGATAAGCCAAAGAGTGGCCGACGTGTGCCCCCCCCCAAAATAAAAATATATTTTGACTGACCTGGTTTAGATTTACTTTACGACTGCCTGCTAATTCACGAATGACTCATTTCTGATTTACGAATGAATTAAGAATGACGAATAACTTCGTTCTTATCTGAACGGCCGCTTATATAACGTAGCGGAATCCTAGGAAGTTTTTGTTGAATGCACGTTTACACGGAAAAGTGTTTTGTATCGAGTTGTTTCCTAGAAGTGCTCCTGCATTTCTAAGCATAAAGAGAGCTGTTTCTGGATGTGACAACAGGTAGACATTTTAACGATGTTTCAGAGGAAAGTGCCGCCTTCCTGAAGGCGCTGGAAGTTTATTCCTCTAGAATCTAGTTGAACTTGTGCCAGACTATATGGTATCATATTCCGGAAGACAGTTATCTTCGTCGTCACCGCTCTGAGGAGCCCATGTCTCATTCTACATGACGTTAGCATAACAGCGGATATGGTTGGAAACACAGCACAAAGGAGCCATTATTCAGCAGTTCGGAAAATAACAGTGCGGAACAATACTTAATGGATTAGTGGATGTCTAAAGTCTCAGGTGAACATATGCATAAATTTCTTAGTTCATTGACGGGTTTTACATAGTGACAAAGCTTTTGTGAGAAATACTTTCACTGACGTATACGTCGGAAGTTTTACTTCCTAAAACTTATAGTAATAGCAGAATTGAAATAAGAGAAGTCACTGCAAACACTTCCTCTTTCTGTGTTACGTTTCACAGTTAATGCCTACTACAGTCGTGGTTTCTGTGTACAGACGCCGTGTCGTGTTTGAAGAAATTCAATTCAAACATAACCTTCTTTGCGGTGTGTGGGAAAGGCTCTTAAGCTTGAGTTTCCTCGGGTAGCAGTACCGTAATCAAGCGGCCGTAATATGACGGTGAATGACATCACTAAAACATTGCCATGGAAACAATCAAGCGGCCGTAATATGACGGTGAATGACATCACTAAAACGTTGCCATGGAAACAAAAGAACATGGTTTCCATGGCAACGTTTTAGTGACGCCATTCACCGTCATATTACGGCCGCTTGATTGCGGTACCGCTACCCGAGGAAACCCAAGCTTAATAATTTTATTAGAAAAGATGCTTCTTGGAATCTGCAATAAACTGGTTATCGGATCTTGGCTGAAAACTTCGTGGTTTTCTTCAGTTTCTTCAGGTAAATACTTGGATAGTATCTAGATATATATGGCCCTACAATATTTTTGCCATTTCTTCATACCAACCTTCCACGAACATTAACATATCTCCTCTTACCTTACATAGAACTAAAGTGACAGAATAGATTGTTTACTGTGACAACCTTACAGGTAAATGCGAGTATATGGGCTTATTCACGTTGACCGGGTCTCTTCCATTCGCTGCCTGAGAGCCACGCAGCTATCGCTATGTGAATTAAACCGTTGTCAGGCAACAAACACAGCAACGGAAACGCAGATCGCTTTTAGAACGTAATATCCATTTATGATGTCCTAACAACGAAACCAGTGACATAGAGAAGACAGGAAGATACATTTAATTTATTTTGGACACGCAGTAGCGTAGTTGGTTGAGGGACTATGCTACAAGCCGGAAGGCAGCGGGTTCGATCCCCAAGAGGGGATCGACCTAATCCTTCAAGAAGCAATAAGGCCCTGGTCCTAATTCAGCTTCTAATAGAAATGAGTAACAGGAATCTTCCTGGAGGTAAAGGACGGCCGATGCATAAGTCCTTCCATAGAAGGAATGTGGGAATGTGATGGGCATGGAGCCTGTGACGAAAGCAAAGCACGTATGTTTTAGAAAATACAGAAACATATTTGTGCTTCCACACTCACTCATGGAGCTGAGCTCTTCTTGAAAAGCAACCAATTGTGCAACTACTCAAGAACTTCCCAGCATTTTATGGAACCCGAAGGTTCATTACTGTGTTCACAAGTGTCTTCCACTGGTCCCTCTCCTGAGTCACATTAATACAATCCATCCTATCCCTCTAAGATCTATCTACTTTTCGATCTTCTTAGTGGTCTCTTCCTTCTGGCTTTCTCATCAATGTCCTATATGCATTCATATTCCCCAAATTCGTGCTACATGCCCTTACCGTTTCATCCTTATTGGCTTGATATTTCTAATTACATTTGTCAAGATATGAAGCTCCTCATTATGCAGTAATTTCCTCATTTATAATTCATAATTAAAAAAAATGATGATTACCTTATAGGTCGAAACATGTGTTGAATAATAATTTTTAACAAGTTATAGACGTGTAAAACTTTTACAATGAGAAACTCTTAGTAAGTTTTATAGAAGGGCGTTCTGCGCATAAAACCGTGAAACCATTTGTTACTCTTCTAATAATCCTCGAACTTCTGCTATTACTTAATGAGCTGCTCTCAGCATGTGAACCACTTGGGGCTTCAATTGGCCACTAACTATGATGATGTTTTTCTACAGGGTGATGCAGATAGCGAGGGTGGAGGCGGCTCCAACATTCTGAGTCTCCTGGGACCCCTGTCTGGCAGCCTCAGCGCGGTAAGAATTAATCTGAAAAGGAACCGCGTGAGCATCCATAATACGTCTGACGCGTTACACGTCACACTGGATAGAGGCCTACGCTCGCTCCCTCACTGAGTTCAGTTAAGAAGGAGATATTTTGTTTACGTAATTACAAGAAAAATTACAAATTTCCTCTGCTGGAAATCCTCTGCAGTTCTTGATGATGAATCCCTCTGAGATTTATTAACGAGATTGAATTTTTGAGTTGGGAGAAATTTATGAAGACCAACTTGAATGTCCGAAGAGTAAATGNCAGGCCAAAAGGCCTAATCCATGCAGTTCTTGATGATGAATCCCTCTGAGATTCATTAACGAGATTGAATTTTGGAGTTGGGAGAAATTTATGAAGACCAACTTGAATGACCGAAGAGTAAACTCATATACAGAGATTTTCTCGAATTCTTGAACATCTGTTAACCAAAACTTTCAAGGAGATGAAATTTCTCCGAGAAAAAATATTTTTTTTTATATTTAACATAGATTAATCTGGTTCAAGTTTACTGACGTTTCGGGAGAAAGGTACTGCTTAGTACTGTCCTTGTAGTTTGCCTCTATCCTGGCTTACTCTTCAATCTTAATAATATAGACAGTATGATCCTCCGAAAATTCCATAAACTTGTACCAAACTACACGATGTCACATCCCAGGAGATAATTACTCTTAGTAATAAGTAGAACACCTCAAAACTAACTTTCTTCCTACAATAAGTTTTAGTTACAATAAGAGGGTGATGACGAAACATGTGTCGATGAAAAGTTGCAACTCACGGAGCAGTAAGTCGGGGTGTAACTGTGCTGTGGGGAATACGTCACAGGGAAACGACGGGATATCTTTACATCAGAGGAACTAACACTGCATGAATGTTGTACTAACAATATGAACAGGCTGCAGGCGGAGGAAACGGTGCAGCTGGAGGCGGTCTCCCACGAAGCAAAGCTGAATTTCTTGGCCTATTAGGATCCCTGTCATCCTGCCTCTGTGGAGTAAGTATAATATTCAGAGCAGAATGTTCAGAAAATAATAAAAAGAGATCTTGTATTCGTAGTTAAAGCAAAGCTAAACTTGTGCCTGTCGTTTCAATCCCACGTCACGAAGACTTATGGGGGGGAGTGGAGGTACAGCTCGACTATTCTTGACTCCGGTTCTAGATCAGGTGAATGGTTAGCTTCACGCACTGACCGCTTGGCCCCCGGGAAAGCAACTCCCCGTAATCATCAGACACGAGACTGTGAGGTCCCGAGAGTCGGTCTGGACACTATAGAGCGGAGAAAAATCTCTTGCCTCTGCCAGAAAACAAACATAGGCCGTCTATTCTGTAGCACACTGCTGTACCGACTGAGATATCCCGAAACCTATGATGATAATAATAATAATTCACACTTTAATTGAAATACTATTTATACTGAGCTAACTGGAAGAAGAAATGAACTTGCTCTGTAGTTTCAATTGCAGATCTTCACTGCTAAGTAAACTCCATTCAGTAGATTAGGAGATAGAACATGCCACTTACGTCTAGATAACATATTTCGTATGTACCGCAAAATTTACGTACTGTACATTTTAAAAACTGGATAATTTTCAAATCCGATTTAAATTACCTTGTGATTGGCTGATTATCCAAGGGCCGAAAGCAGGAAGTCTCACAGTTCAGTCCCATTTGTATAGGGCAAGCGAACTGAATCCTTGCCAGAAAAATTAGAACACAAGTCTACTTGCAATTGACGTAAATTTTTTATCTTTTGTATCTTTTCATTTTTTGTACTTTGATCCTTCTATTGGGAAATCAAAGAGATGAAATTTTAATTATATACAAAATATGTTACATTTCTGAACACTCTGTGTGGACAATGTGAATTAAAATTCAAGTTCATAATTAAAAATCAATCATATCTTCAGTATTTTCCCGAATTTAATTGCAGCCCCTCCTCAGCATTTTGAAAATATAAATTGAAGAACTCGATTATTTTTTTCATTGTAGAAACGATATGCAAACTTGCAGAACAAATTAAAATTTTCCTGTCATCTTTCAATGAAGTTGCTGTAATTTGTTAATATACATACTTCAGAATCAGTTTTCCAGGAAAAATTAAGAGGAAGGGGGGGGGCATGCCTGCTATATACGGGAAAATACGGGAGCACTAAGAGAACTAACCCTTACTTCTAAGTGTTCTAACTAACCAATGCACAGGGCGCAGACCGTGGAGGACCTAACATCTTTAGTCTTCTGGTTGGACTTCTCGGGCAACTGAGCGGGGTAAGTTAGTTCATGCTTATGTTAATAAAAACACTAACAGTGGAGTAACTAAATCCTTTTGTTACTTAAGCAAGTGTAAGAAGACAAGATACGATTTCGATTAAAAGGTCACTTACAGTGCTCCGCGTCCGGAAGTTACCGGACTGCAGTGTAGCCTGGGAACCCCGTTGGTGCTCAAGCCCGTTTCCGTCCCTGAACTCAATTCATGTATATTTATGTGGGTCTCAGTCTTCGCTGGGCCTCATCACATGTTACAGGGATCAGTTTAGTTGAGTGAGGACAGAGAGTGTCGGTCAGGTGACGGTTCGGACAGACACCTTTCGGTCAGGTGGCGGTTCGTAGAGACATGTCGGTTAGGTAGCGGTACGGAGAGACATCTGTCGGTTAGGTAGCGGTTCAGGCAGACGTCTGTCGGACAGGTGGCGGTTCAGACTGACGTCTGTCGGTCAGGTGGCAGTTCTGACAGACATCTGTCGGTCATGAGGCGGTTCGGACAGACATCTGTCGGCCACATGGCAATTCGGAAAGATATCTGTCGGTAAATTAGTAGTTTGGAAAGACAGTCTATCAGGTGGCGAGTCTGAGAGAGAGCTTTGGTAAGGTAGCGGTTGGAGAGAAAGTGTCGGTACGACGGGGTTCGCAGAGAGCGTCTCTCTCAGGCAACGGATCGCCTTACTGAGGTTGCATGAGATTCGCTCGGAGCGTGTTTACTGGTGTGGATGACGTCTGTACTCATTCGAGGTCTCAGACGATGGAGTTGTAAATTGTTAGATGAAAATGAAACCGGTTCGAATCTGAACCGAGTCACTGGCCATACTAACACACTTTTTTGTGGCACTTCTGTTTTTCCCCTAGGGGCAGACTATTAACATCTTGTTACTGTTCTTGTTTTGTCACTGAGCGGTTTGACTGGAGAAACAAGGGCTAAACCTTCTGACATGTAGTTGGAGGCTGTGTGGTTTTAACACTGGCCGGCACAATAAACTATTCCGACTGCGGTTTCATGGAGCCTACTGTCTCCAGCTTCAGGGTGGAAGACATCCGTAGCAAATACAAAATTAAATGGCGTTCCTTATCAGTAATGTTCTCACTCACCTTGGTGAGAATTCTATATCTTCTATGGGACGCCATTCTATGCAGTTTCCGCAGATAATAAAAACCTTCGAATTAATAATACCAAGCTACTTTGTTACACTCTTCTTCCCTGAAAATGGAAGCAGGATATTCCTTCGAAAAGCTCGTGAAAATTCACTAGTCTGTATGGCGAAATGTCCCAGAAGACGGTATTCTTAACCGAATATGATTATCCTCTGATGCCACATTACACAAAACAGCCTCAAGAGGTTATTAGTAACGTCACAGACACACATGAAAGTTACGACAATGTAATCCATCTAGCCTAAGGCAACAGGATGCTACACTATAGGATTATACTAGTTACTGTTGTTTGACGTCCCCCAGGGAAGCAGCGGAGGCGGCGGCGGGGGTGACAGTGGAGATGCGGGCGGCGGGTCCAATATCCTGAGCCTTGTGTCTGGACTGCTTGGGAGCAGCAGTGGCGTAAGTGTGAATACAGCAAAGATCACTGTAGATCGCGGTGCAAGGGCCGAGAAGTCCCACCCCTTATATAAGTAGGAATACAATTAAATAAATATTCCTATCTTCCTTTTTTCGGATAACTTAATTTTATCTATGGTTTTTAAGAATCCCGTTAGAATTTCAGTATTCGAACCGAAGAGAGTTAAGTGACGGAGATTGCAGAAAACAACATAATGAGGAGCTTCGTAACTTGTGATCTTCTTGTAACTACAATGATCAAGTCAAGGAGAATGAGATGGGCTGGGTATGTAGCACGTATGGGAAGGAAAGGAATTCATGTAGGATTTGGTGGGAAAGCCAGAAGGAAAGAGACCACTAGGAAGACCAATACGTATGTGGGTGAATAATATTAAGATGGATCTTAGAGAAATAGGATGGGGTGGTATGGACTGCACTGATCTGACTTAGGATAGGGACCAGTGGAAGGCTCTTGTGAACACGGTAATGAACCTTCGGGTTCAACAGAATATTCGGATATTTTTTTTAGAAACTGAGCGACTGGTGTCTTCTCAAGAAGATCTCAACTCCATTGAGTTAGTTAGTTAGTTAGTTAGTTAGTTAGTTAGCTAGCTAGGATCTCAGGTTATAATAGTGTCGGAGAGACTTTGCCTTCAAAAGCAAATTAATCTTGAAATGGGAGTGATATAGAAGAAAGCGACTGTGAGCTAATTTAAGGTAAGGTCCCGTCATTTTCTTTGACGAACTAAGAAAAACCACAAAATACCTCAGTCAGGATACTTCCTTTAAGTCCGAGTTTCGAACCCGGCACCTCAGAATATGTCAGTAGCTTTGCAGCACCAGCCAACGGTCACGGCAGGACAAGAATTAAATTCGACAGACTAGGTTTAATGTAAAAACCTTAAAACTGTATGTTAAAAGCCTCAGTCAAACAATAATCTTGTTTTTTTAACAATTTAAATGGTTGTGTTTCGGAATCATTCCTACGTCATCGTCAGACCTTCCCAATACAAGGTGAAGATAGAAAATTGTGGAGGTTATTGACTAGTGCTGATTGTGGCCTAAGGTAATTACTATTATGAATAAATCTGCTTATGATCTTTTAAAATATTGTGACGTGTCGCGCTATGGAGGACACCCCCTTCCTCCCCAGCGGTACGTGACGGCATCGTAGCGCTGTCGTTACTATGGTAATAGGCAAGTCAACAGCCCGCCCCTCTCCCCGCGGTGACGTAACAAGCAAATTAAAAAGGTAAAGCTATCCCTGTAACACACCGCGGAAGCTCATAAGATTCCGAGACGTCGATGCTCCCACATTTTCTAGAAAATCGGCTCACAGATGGTGGTGAGGCTGTTAGCCTTACGCGTCAGCCGCCCTTTACCTCCCAGGAAGATTCCTGGTACTCATTTCTGTCAGAGGCTGAGTTGATGCCAGAGCCATAGTGCGACTGGAAGGATTAGGTCAATTGAAAAATCCAATGAGTTTATCGGGAATCGAACCCGCGGCTTACCGCCTTGTGACAGTGCCTCAACCAGCTACACTACGGCGCGCCCCATATCCAAATTAACACAGCAGAATACAGCCATTTTAAACCAAATAAAAAAATGTCAAAGAATCTGGAAACTATCCCCTCCAAAATTTTAGATTATTTATGTACTTTGTACCAATAGAGCCGGGATTGCTCAGTCGGTGTAACAAGGATACAGGCTGGAGTTCGGGGTTATTTCCCTGTAGGAGCTAGCGTTTTCTTTATCTACTCCACAACTGTGAGACTGGCTTTGGACCAATACAGCCTCCTTTAAAATGTGTACCGGGTTTTTTTCCCTCGGGGCTTAAAGCAGAAGGAGGTGAAACTGATCACTGGCCGCAATACAGCGTCTAGGTTAAGAAAAGTGGAGCTATACCTGCACTTCCCGATACGTCTTGATGGCATAGTACTTAATTAATGAAGTCCAGGGATAACTTTCCCTTCTCTGTACCAATTCATTCATCCATTCATCAGTAATCTGTCAGACGACAGGTCCACAGTCTCTTCCAAAACAGTTCCTCCATTTAATGCGATCTAGAGCTTTCTCCTTCAAATGAAAATATCCTCTTCTGTCCCCAAGGTCATCCAGCATCTTCTTACGTCTTCTGGTTCGCATAAATGGTGTCTCTGTTTTTGGAAAGAGACTATCCAGGAAAAGTGGTAATGTGGTAGTTTTTCCATTTGGTTTCCACATGGCAGTACAACAGCCGTTAAAACCACTCTGGTCACGCCTGTTGCTATACGAACTTGAACTTGAACAGAGGTGTCTCCACCTCTGTACCAATACGTCACAGAAATTGGCCTCCCACGACCCACTACAGACTCTTAAGTTTCCCTCTATAAAGAGAAATGTTTCTATGTTTTCCTGCAGAGCAGCAGCGGTGGTGGTGAGGGTGAAGACGGAGGCGGCGGTTCCAATATTCTGAGTCTCATCTCTACCGTCCTCGGAGGAAGCAGTGGAGTAAGTAACCAGCTTCCTCTCACAGCGCTGAGAGTATCTGAGTAGTACCTAACACTCCCATTATGAAATGCCGAGACACTTAACGTTAAGTAAGGCGAAATGTGTGGCTACTACTGCAGCGCAAATAAACAAGATATTAACATATGCAGCGCATAATTAATGGAGAAGTTTTGGAGAAGAAAATTTAAATGACAAGCTTAAGTCTGTATTCCTCAAATTGCTTATCAGAAAAGAAATTCAGTTAATATGATAAATAAGGAGTTTATACGCTGTAGAGAACCCGTCAATGTTCAGACTACATAGCTTCGAAGACACAATTATTAATTAATGTGGAATAGGCAATTGAATGAGAATTGGCAGGGGAACCAAAATACTCGGAAGGAACCAGCCTCAGTGTCAAATTGTCCGCGACAAATACTACATGATTTGTCCTGGGATTGAACCCGGGGTGACCACCAGTCACACTGGAAGAAACTGTTTAACTTTTTATAATAGCGTGTTCTAATACATTATGAAGAGTGCATTACACCAAAATTGATCCACAAATTTGATCAGGCTCTACTTCTCTTCTAATGGATAAATTTTTCTTAAACAAACGAAGTATGTGCTTTCGGGTAGATCGATCTACTACTCGCATAACTGCGACTAAAACAATTCGTCAGCACGAACAACTGAATGTTCATTAACCTCTCAAAGCCCAGTGGTTACTGTATGTACCACCCGCTTTTACACAATATAACTCTGCATTCTTTCCACAGATTGTATTTGTTCCGTAAGGTTCTCACAATAAACAGCGACTGTTTCCCTAAACAGCATTAACCGGTTGGTTTTTGTAGCGAAACGTAATACGTTTCCTGTGAGGTACAAACCCAGATTATATATATGTATAATTTAGAAGAAATTCAGCCCTAAAAGGGTTATATACGGGAAGGGCTTTTATAATGTGTACCGAGTCCACGGCTTTGCGTTTCACGACGGCCGGTGCACCGCTTGCTGAGAGGTGCATACAAATTTTGCCGATGAATCAACATGCCTGACAGCCGATAACTTTCGGAATGAAGTACCTATATTTCACAGATCATAGGAGTTGTTGAAAATGCGGTCCTCTCTACACGTACAAATTTTTCGCAATTTAATTTTTTCGTTAAAAACAAAAATACGACAGACACCAATGTTTACCGGATAGCTTCAGCAGTTGTGTTGCCGTTCTTGCACTAGACTTTAACACTCCAATCTCTTGACCTAGACGTTTCAGTGATCGTGTCTGGCCCCTATGTCACCAAACTTTTCCTCAGTAAGCATTCGGCGCTTACCCGTATGTTGTTGCTCCTTGTCTATTAAGTGTCCCGTAGATCTAAGACTATTTATAAATTGTTTGTCTGCTGGAAACTCTTTCATCACAAAATTTACGTTGAAATTTTCGCCGACACTTTCCAGCAGATCCGTATTTCACATGTGTGACATACAGAAATACACGTTTCTCTAAAGTATAACTCACCGTGACGTATCACACTGCTCACTAACTGTAACTGAGAACAAATGGCTAAGCAAGTTTATAACTGCTTCTTACTGCTGACAAATCATAAATAAACTCTCATACTGCTCGCCGGGTAACATAATACCGTCAAGCGGTCCACCCCGGTCCCGGCGTTTGTCCAGTGATTGAGACTAGCTCTTTCTAACGGACCCAACTGAGTAGGTTTATCCTTCCCTACCCACCTGAAGACGGAGACAGATCCAGTCTCCGAAACGTCGTGGTCTTGTGTCTTTTACATGCCAGACGATGGATGAAGTCCAAAATAAGCCAAAAGACGTACTGCTCCACTCAAGCTTACAACAAATTCGCAAGAACACCGATGGCGGGGCCACTTGACGGTTTACATACATACTGACTACAGTGTGAGATAAGAGATGGCGCGAAAAATAGTAAAAAAAAAAACTTCCTCTGAATTTTCAAATAAAGCCACACTAGTAATACGGTAGAGCCTCGCAAAGAATATGATTCTTGTACTGAATTAATTTTTCCAGAGTGGTGGAGACAATGCCGGAGACGGGAGCACGGGGGGAAACAAGAATCCGCTACAAGGAGGAACGGTAAGTCTCACATCTGTCTCCCAATACACATGCAACGTTAAATTGAACAAACATTACCGGGACTGAGTGGACCCCGTTCCACACCCACTACATCTCAGAAAAAATCTAATAGCGCGGGGAATCGAACCCGGAGCTGTACATTGAATATTTTTACATTCCTCCACATAATTTCTTATAAAAATATATAATTTACATCAAACTAAAGAACAAGACATGTTTCGACCCTTAGCCAGTCATCATCAGGTGTACTCGTTTTGCTTGGGTGGTGAACTTGTTTTTTTCAATATTGATCAATATTTTAACAATAGAACATAATATCATTTGGTAAAAACCTCTTGGTATTATCTGCTCCTTAGTCTAATTATGTAGGTATGAGATAATCTGTTAAGAGATCTAAGGCATGGGACAGAGCCTTTCTTGAGCAGCTGATAGTCGCTGAGCTGATAAATGGATCCTCACTTATTAAAGCCAAAGGTGCATTATCGTGTTTTAAAAGGCCGCAATTGAACCATATCCTGAACCAGCTGACTCTAGTCCACATTTTCACTCGTGTGTATTTATAAACCTTGTTTGTTTATTTATTTATGATTATTTAAAATACTCGTAAGCAATTTGGGCCGTACAAAATTATATTGTAAAAAGTTAATAAATTTTAGGGATTCGGAAGGAAAGAGTAGTGGCTTTATCAAGGTATTATTTCCGGATTTGCTTTGAGGGACTGAGTAAAACGACGGAAGTCTTAATTTAGGATGACTGGTGTCCCGGCAGAGATTGGACCGAAGCACATCACAAACATGATCCTAGAACATTATCACCACTTCCATCTAAACTGTCAGTCTATGAATATTTATATTTTTACATGATGATGGAAGAAGAATAGACCTCCGAAACGTTGTTTTTATAAACTAGAATGAGATAATCTACTCTCTCGTTTCAGTATGATGATCTCATTGGGAAAGGCCCATTCAGTTCCTTCGGAAACGGCTTCTCCAGGTTACTCACGGTAAGTAACACAATCTCGTGATCTCCGGTTCGTAACTCGTTATCAGTTAAACTTAATTCGTTATACACTTGAAACTGTGTTCAACCAAACAACTGTAATAATAAAAAAAAAAAAAAAAAAAGGAAAAGTAAAGCTATCCCTGTAACAGGCCGTGGAGGCCCACAGGGTTGTGAGACGTTGAGGGTCCCACATTATCCGGAAAATCGGCTCAAGGATGGCGGTAAGGTTGTCGGCCTTATGCGCTGGCCGCCCTTTACCCCCCCCCCCCCAAGGAAGATTCCTGGTACTCATTTCTGTTAGAGGCTGAGTCTACTTCAGGGCCATAGTGCAACTTGAAGGATTAGGTCAATTGAAAATATCTACTTCATGGGAACTCGAATCCGCGACATTCCGGCTTGTCGCATAGGCCCTCAATCAAGTACGCTACCGCGTGCCCACTAAATACAGTGCGTTCAATCAAGGAGGAAACTTCACAACACCGCTCACCGGGCCCAACATTCCTCACAGTTTTCTGTTGTAACTGTAACGGCGAGCGTTTATTGACTCACTTTGCTATCAGCAGTGACAGCAGCAATCTGTGAAGAACGTTGAGACCGGTCAGCGGTGTTTCGAAGTTTCCTCCTAAAACCGAATTATCGCATAGCAGAAAAAATATGTTGGTAAACATCTAATGTGAATTTTCTGAGAAATGTGTGCATAGTACACACAAAATTTGAGTTTCAAATATAGATTTCTGCACTGTCAGTGCAGTGTCATTTCATTTTATAATCTTTTAGCGACATGTCTTAAAAAAACGTTCTTTCCAGAAAACATAAGAATCAACCCCCCCCCCTCCCGAAGAAAAGCCAGTCAGCTTTATAATACTCACTTCGATTGCTAGATATATGTGTGTACTTGAATTTGAAATCGTTCTTGCATTCTAAAATCATAGCTGATATATTAATGTGCCTGTTCCATGTTTTAATGTACAGTCCAATAAAATTCAAGCTTTAATCGAATTTCTTTTTTATTTTTCAGTTCAAATTCAGCATATTCAGAACTCTCTTCTCCCTTCTTACTTCACTCCTGACTTCGTCATCATCGTCATCCAGTTCGTAACGTCCGGGCAAGACTTCACGGCGTATCCCAACAAGTCTTCGGAATTACCCGCAAGAAACAATCTCCTTTTTGTGGAATTTGCTTCTCACATGTCAAACCTGAACACGCACAAGCCCCACTTTACGTCATCCGATTTGGAGCACCACAGAATAATCGCAACGTGCAATATCCCAATTCGAATTCTGTGATCGTTTCGAAACATGGTGACGACCTAATTTATCGCCGTGTTGAAGTCTCTCTTACGTATCACTTTAATGCGGTGCCTGCTAGGAACGCAGAAACACACTTCCGATTTAACTATCTACAGGGTGATTCACTCGGCAAGATGCAGAATAAATAATTATAAATCACGTAATTATTTACCAATGAAAGCAACACTGGGCTGGTAATTTTTTTTTCCTTGGCACTACAGCCCCAGTGGGCCTAGGCCTACCTCCATGAACTTCTCCGTTCACTGGGCTCGTAAATACCTTGCTATATTCGAGACAGTTGAGCTACAGAGAATGTTGAAAATGTTCTCCCTCCGCCTGCAGACGTAGGTCGAGACGGCATTCCATATCAATGTACATTATTTCTCTGTAAATTACGTGGAATGAGAGAAAGAAGGAAGTGACAAGAACTGGAGATAGACGACAAGTTTAGTTTCTATGTGTAAATTATTGCAAGATTAATATCCCCCTGCAAGTGAATCTCTCTGTATATGAAAAATGAAACAACAGGTTTGAAAATCACATTAATTCCAACTTCTAATACTATAACTTCGTAATCGTGCGATTGTTAATATCAAATTTTTACTCTCTTATTTAATGTCCATTGACGCCTGTCTCCTTCAAGTCACTTAACCGCCCTTCTGAATTATTTGCTTTTTGCCTTCACATCTTCAATTTCAGTTCTTCTAACTCATTCTGTATGTCTTCTAGCCATCACACTTTGAACATTTTCCTATGGTTTCTTTTAAATACTTTNTATATATAATATATATATTTGTACTTTCATAATTATTGTTCATTATCTTCTTGCATTTTCTTATATGGTCTGTGGACGAAAAATCTACGATCTGTTCATTCTTTTCAGTATCTTTCTTTTTCACTTTCTTGGTAACTATTTCCACTCTTCTTTGTTCTAGGCAGCGAGTTCAGGAACCATCAGATTTCTGGGCTGTCCCATAAGTTTCTGTCCCTCAAATCTTATTTCTAATGTTCTTTTCCTTGTCCTTTCTCTACCCACTCTCTCTATACATCAAACTATTTCAATAGTTTACCTTCATACGTCGTTAACAGATTATAAATTCCGGTTACTCTCTATAAATCTAATTAATAAATAATTAAAAAGAATATCTACTTAATGGATTATTTTTCCTTTTGTAAAGATCGTCGCCATGTGTCAGCATCGGTTTAAATTATATTTTTTAGTTTCTCGTTCTTGGATGTTCAAAAATAGTCTTTATTATCTTGTATAATGTAGAGTTAATATGAATTAGTCTATTGATTTACTACAAATATACATGAAAAATTTTCATGTCCGTATATTAAATTCGTAGCATAACCAGAATTAAATTCATTCATTCATCAGTAATCTGTCAGACGACAGGTCCACAGTCTCTTCCAAAACAGTTCCTCCACTTAATGTGATCTAGAGCTTTCTCCTTCAAATGAGAATATCCTCTTCTGTCCCCAAGGTCATCCAGCATCTTCTTACATCTTCTTCCTCGTCTTCTGATCACTTCTATCCGCCCCTCTATCTTTCCTTCAATATCTTCTTTTAGAAGGCGGTTACTGCGTAAGATATGACCAATCCAATTAGCCTTCCGTTTTCTTATTTCGAGAATGAAATATGTATAAATAATACATATTCCAAAAAAATATTATAAACTTGATTTAAACTGAGCCAGAAAGAAAAACAGTATTCACTTTTAGACCCCATTATAACAAAGAACAATTAATTTTATGTTGAAGGAGACAGACTTTGGGCAAAGAGATTTATTTATATAGAAAGACATTAAGAGTTAAAATTAAAATATGTGATAATTAAATTTTAATCTAATTTCTTGTCTAAAACATTACGATCTGAACACCGCACGATAACTACAATTTATATCTGGCATTCTGAAAATATTTCAATCACCGATTGTGAAATAGATTATCATTATGGGATTTATATAGCCTGTCCAACGTCGTTATGTTTCCTTGTTCCTTCGATTAGTTGGCTGTCAGAGGCTGAGGGCGACATCTTTCCATTCCTTCATAGCAACTTCACTAATTTTGTTGGTATTCTTGCATCTCTTCAACTATACTTGTAACTTTCAAACTTCTCTCATGCAAGACTTTAAAATGTACATATATATTTAAGAGAATTCATTTACTGGCTGTATAGTCACTACGAATATCCTCTTGAAAATTGGTTCACTAAAGTAAGTAAGTGCTATTAGAAACTATATTAAGTAGAGTTATACATCTACAAGGGCTTCTGAAGTAGCATAATTTAAGCTGTCATAATAAAAACAAGTCTGTAGACTCTATTTAAAGTATGAGTCATCATAATCATTTCTCATGTCATCAAACCGTCACGTTGATCATTCTTGATTATCACCACTGAAAGTAAAAAAAATTGTGAAATATGGCGTATTCTACAATGAACGAACATTAATTCAGTCTGGCCTATTTATATACTGTTTAATGAATTGGATGCTTAACCGCTCCATAACTAATATGAATTAGAGGTTAGGAATCTCAGTCCCATATCTCTTTTACTCTCTTTTACTCTCTTCACATTTCTCAAATCTGTCATTAAATATTTCTTCTCACAATGCCAGAAAATTTAATACTATTGTCATATCAGAGCATACGGAAAAATGAAAACAATAGATGTAATGTTTTATATCATAATAATATAAGCTTTTACTATGTCTATTCAGAAACATCTTCAATTTATCATTCTTGCCTACAAAAGATTCCAAACACCATTGTGCCTCTCAGTGTGGACCCTGTATAACTGTTACTTAGCTTCTAGTTACAAGTATTGTTGTTAGAACTCGCGAGAGACGCACAAAACGAATTTTTACCTGCGCAGCGGACACAAGAGAATTGAACTACGTAACTCCCAGACATTTCAGATGCCAAGGGTGATTATAGTGGAGACATATGCTTCAACCATAGAACCAGTGACAAAACTGGCACAGAATAATGTCTTATTTCCAAAATAATCTACAGGACTCTGATTGTGAAGAAATTCCTTTTTCGTAAGATACCAATCTGTATCTTACTGGCTGCTTAATTCAGCATCAAGCGCAAACGGTTTTCAACTTTGCGCTTCTGATAATTATTTTATGATAAACTAAGAAAGGGTAGCAGTGACACTGAAAGTCTACCTATTTCTGCGTACAGAAGATTTTAATGTGATCAGAAAGAACTCTACCAAGGACTGTGGGATTGAGACTTCATTTCTACCTAGATATGTAACTGTCACTCTAATTCATAAGCTTTCTCTCTTTGACTTAGCCTACTTCGTAATATGAAGTATAGATGCCTCCACTCTCCTCTTACCACATGTAAGACGCTCGTAATGTATAGGTTCATTTTCTGTTGGTTACATAACTTCACAGAAATAATTTAATTATTTTTTCCATTGTGCAACAGTAAGGGCCATATAGTTGTATAACAGGGACTTCTGTGTACTAGTGAAATACCCTGACGTCATTCTTCACAGAGTGCATCCTATTGCGTGTCTTAGCCGTCACCACAACAAATGATTTATATTCAATTGTAAAAATATTGATTTATTATATATCACTTGTTGTGGCGACGGATAACCTAACTATATGTCCCATTTTTTTTTATTGCTAGTGGGGTAGGACTAAGTCCCTTGCACTGCGGTCACTTCTGGTCTACTGTACCAGCCCCAGATGATAGGTGAGGGTGATTGTGGAGCAATTGGTGGAATGAAGATTTGCAGGGGAAACCAAGTACTCGGAAAAAATCTGTCCCAGCGCCACTTTGTCCACCACAAATCCCACTTGTCCAGACCCGGGCTCGAACCCGGGCCGCCGCAGTGGGAAGCCAGCGACTAACCACTTGAGCTATGGTGCGGCCATGATTTACCCTAACTTGAGACTATTTTTACATATTTCGAATCTCTTAACCATGAGACAATATTAAAATAGGTTTTAAAGAAATAGAATGTCAGAGTTGGAATAGATAGATTTAGCTCAAAGTGCGGTCAACAGACGTGATTTTTTTCGGAGGCATAATAATAAAAATTAGGCTCCATGTACGACGAAGAATTTCTAGGCTAATAGACGACTATTTTCACAAGTAGAATTATGCTTCATGGATTTTAATGTCTAGGCTTCAATACTTCTAAACCCCAATCTTCTCCATATATCAAAATATTTAGAAACTGCAGGTTAGGTTCGCAAAACAGATGTGATCAAATTTCAGACCACATTTTCAAGTACGTCATAACCTCAAGATAATATTAAAATATGTCCCAGAAAAGCAGTGCTGGATTACGGACCAGTTACACTTAGTTCAGGTTAGGGCCAAGACACGAACTAGAATGAACATATCAATATACTTTAGGGCTTCATAAAAGATATGTAATTTCTTGATTAATTAATCGACTATCAACTTCTTAGTAAGGACTCTCCTCCACGGAGTTATCTAGTCTTAAATGCTGATAAGACGTGGTTGTCACCAAAAATAGAAATGAAATTAAAAAGATTATGCGTTGTATCTCTCTGAAATGCTCGCATTTCAATCTGCGTTAAGATATGTTTTGGGGAAACTCGTCTCCTTGAAGAAGGGAACCGGATATCCGTTGCACTTCTAGGTAGGAATGAGTTGCATGGCCCCCGTGTTCACTACAAACGGTCCTCTCACTTCAAAATGTTCCAAAATTAAGCCATTTTTTTATAATTTGATATCATCCCTGAATATCAGATTTTTTTTTGTATACTCAATTCAAAAAACATCGACAGAAGGTGATATCTAGGATAGAAGGTAATTATAGTTCTGTCTATGTTTTATTAAATACAGCTATCGTGAATATATTTGTTTATTCTGCCACATTCGAAATTATTTTGTGCTTTTGATGTTTTACGTAAACATTCAATGAAAATATTGAAATACACGATGAAATGTAATATAATCGCCTCTGGATGTAATGTATTATATTGCTCAATGAATTTTGTATAATTACTGTATATTTTGAAGAGGTCATTGTAAATATAAGTATATACTTCTGATAAACTTTTATTGCAGATATGCGCAAGCGCACTGAGTGTAACCTTTTAACGACTTCCATTCCGAGTGATTAAAGAAAAATTAAATTATGTGTTTTTCATGTTCATATCCTTTCTAACTCATCATTCCCGCTGCTAAGAAGACAGCAGGTAAAGTACAAAGCTGCTCGAGACAGATAAAGCAGATCATATGCTCTATCTGTTGCAAGAACGACGTAGCTTCGTTGTCAGTTTGTGACGCAGACTATTGCGTCATCATTAGAAAGATACTGGGGTTTATATCAAACTTATTTATGGTCATATATATGGAGTTAGGTTAACCGTCACACAAGTATTCTCGCTTTTAATGTTTTACAATAGGTTTTTTATTCATGCTACATGTTTCGGTCGTACAAGACCGCCACCAGAAAACAGAGACAAACAAACTCCGTGGTTTTAGTCCACAAGCGAACTATACCGACCGAGCGACCTCCGCTTGTCGGCCAAGTTAGTGCCAACTTCAGCGGATAGAGGGTGTCGCGTGGTCAGGACAACGAAACCCCACGGCCGTCAATTTCTGTTTTCTAGACCGGAGTCGCTATTTCCATGAAATATCTCCTCAGTTATCCTCACGATGCTGTGTGGACCCCGTTCCAGACACACTGCTTCTCAGAATATCTGGCAGGGCCGGGAATCGAACCCAGACCTCTGGATCTGTAGCCAGGAACTCTGACCACTATACC